CTAGATGTTACAAGAATGAGTATGATGTTGGTAAGAGGGAGCTCTACTAGTTACATCAACTTTATTCTGTCCAGAGAGTGAAGTGGCCTGTTGTCTTCTAGGTGTGAGATGATTCTACTTTTGGTTCTTTTTGATGCAAGGTCTTAAGTTTTATTCCTGTATTGTGATCTGTGTAACTATAACCCCTCCCACAAACAGGGACACAGTTCTCTTAAAAATTATCACATGCATACATACATACTTTCATTGAGACAGGGTCTTGCTATATATAGCCCAGACCTCCCAATATGACCCTTCTACCCTAGCCTCGCAAGTGCAGAGATTACAGGCATGTGCCACCATGCTCAGCAAAACGTCACATTTTAGCCTTATGTGGGGTAGTAGACTATCTAATCCAGTCCTGTTGTTTAAAAACAGCTTGGGTGACTTTCTTTGTCAAAAGGCTAATTCAGGGGAGGAAATGTTCATGGGTGCTAGGCTATTTTTTTAATTCAAAAATTTTGTGTGTGTGTGTGTGTGTCACACTGGAGATCAAACCCAGAGTCTCAAACATGATAGACAAGGTCTCTACTGAATTATACGCACAGCCCGTATCGTTTTAAAAACTGTAGTTTACCTGTTATGTTGAAGACTTAGAAAAGTGGCATGCTGTTTAATCCAAATGCTGGTATAGTGCCTCCGTGACAGTAACATTTATTTAATTTGCCTGGCTCAGACAACTGGCAGCCAAAAATCGATCCCAGGTCTCATCTGGCATTTGCAGTGTATCCCTCTGAATTTGGAGGAACACGTCAAGCGAGCTTAAAATATAAAATTCTGGTTTTGTCTCAACTGGGCAATCCTTATACATAAAGAGATATACACACTTAGGTCTTTTCATATGGGACAATGTTTAAGTCATAGATGAAGTAAAAAATAGAACCCACATCTCCAAGTTACTACCTCAGTGCTCTACCCTACACTACAAACAACAGTTGCCCACCAAAAAAAATTTCTATGTAGATCCTAAATAAAGATCAGGGAATTTAAACCCTGCTGAGAAGTTACTAGCCCAGAGCAGGAGGCCTGGTTGTTGATTAAACAGCTGCCTCTGGTTAGTATTAAAGAAACAGCTAAATCTACACAAGTGAGGCAACAGCCAGTGAATGAAAAATCCAGGGAGGCTCTGTTAAACAATAGGTAAGCGTGGCTCAGTACACAGAGGATTTCAGGAGACAAACAGCACATACTTGTTTCTAGATATTTATACATTCTGGTGTTGCAGGGAGACTACAAATTTTATCGTATGTACAGAGGGAAACAAATGTTTGTTTAACCACATTAGTGATAAACACGGGTGAGATACTGCTTTATTTCAGAGAAAGTCTGGAGGGGTGAGAAGCATTTTGGTATATTGATGGCTTTCATTGTTTGAAATTTCGTTATACCTTCAAACTTTTAGCACTTTCTGGGCACTTATAACTTTAGTGTAATTACTGGATACCTTTAGTTATTACACCTGGGCTCATTTACAGGATCATTTTTATTTAAATCTTTTCTTGGGGGTGGGGGTCTTTTTGAGATAGGGTTTCACTATGCAGTCCAGGCAGGCCTTGAACTCAATTTGTAGCCCAAGCTGGCCTCAGACTCACAGCGATCCTCCTACCTCAGTCTCCCAAGTGTTGGGATTATGGGCGTGTGCCACCATGCCAGGCCCCCCATTAGAATCTTTGTCATCTCCCAACTCCCAGTCACTTGGTCATCAGATCTAAAAATAAACCAGAAGTCTTTACAGCTCTGTGAGCTTATTAGCATTATGTCAATTCATAGATTTTCATAGGGGAGGAGGCTATCTGATCCAAGCCATACTCATTTTTTAGCACTCCTCATGAGAGGTGCTTAGGGGTAGCCTAGCTGGAATATTCCTCTGATGGTGGGGACTTGTTCTCTGAGGCATTCATTCTATTTATGGGTACCTGGGCACCCTTAGTGTATAACTTAGAAGTCTTCCTAAAAGCAATCTTTACATATTACAACTTCTCAAAATTTCTGATTTCATCCTTTGTGGCTTGATTATAGAATCACAAAATACTGCTTATTGGCATTGTTACAAAGTTCTACCAATGTGGACAGGTGCATCTGCTTATTTATTTACTTACTTGGGTTTTTTTTTTTCCCCCGGTACCGGGAACTGAACTCACAACCTTGCACTTGCCAGGCAGGCGCTGTGCCACTGAGCTAAATCCCCAGCCCTGGCATCTGCTTATTTAGGGAGAGGAATTCATGCTGAAGTTCATTTCTAAAGGAAGATACCCTGGCATTACTAAGATTTCCGGCTGACAAAGGATATTGTGGTTTGGGTGAAAGATGAATACAGAGGAGTTTCTGGTGTTAGGGTGGTTTTGAGGTTATACATAAAGCCAAGATGACACTTCCTGTGTCAAGACTTCTTTCCTGACAGTATTCAAGTCTTAGAAACAGTGTCTTCATTCACAACATGATGTGGTCTCAAAGAGAATTTGGGGCTTTGTTTTTCAGTAAAACAACTATCGGAACCTATTTATAAATATATGAAACAGTGTTTATACACTTTAAATTATAGGTTACCACATTCTTGATTCCAAAGGCAAGAACAAAGTAGAGTTCAAAGAAACACTCAGAGGTGGTTGTCTGCTTCCTGTATCTGATGCCCATGAGGAAATAGAGGACTGCTGCTGAGGTAACACCTCCCTTAAATAGCCGGGTTTTTTTTCCCCCTTCGCTTACCATTTGAACATGTTTATAAATCATGAAGAGACCAAAAGGAAGGCAAAAAAGTAATGAGGTGTTGGGAGATAACTAAACCCCCACCTTGTGAAAACTCCGACTCTGTAGAACTTGTTAGGGGTTGGTTTTGTTTTATTGTCTTGCTTCCTCAAACTCAGAACTTGCGATTTTGTTCAAGGGACCAACCATTCCTTCTCAGAATAGTGTGCCTGGGGTCTCTTCCAGCTCCTCTCGCAATTAGCTGTTTACCAAAAATGGAGCCAATTTAGCTAAAGGACAGGGTCACCCAAACCTTGAAAAGAAACACTTTCTTGGCAAAAATAAGCTTTGCAACCCTTATCTTTAAACAGTGAGAGCAGGTAAGAGAGAAATAGCTTCTTGTGACATGTAGCAAGCACATGTGGCACAAAGGACACCTGGAAAAGAAACATTTTAGGACATAGGTGTTGGACCTCAGGGCCCAAGGGAATTAATGCCCTGGACTAAAGCTGCTGCCATTCCTCTAAGAACGTTACTACTGTAACTGCAGGGCTGGGAGTGTATTTGAGTGGTAGAGCGCTTTCCTAGCATGTGCAAGGCTCTGATTCCATCCCTAGCACTGCAACAAACAAAAACCCGTGTAACTGCAAAATATATATATATTTTTTCAAATATATGTATTTTCTGGGTTCAATATATATATATATATTTTTTTTCTGGGTTCAATATATATATATTTTTTCTGGGTTCAAGATATATATATATATTTTTTTTTTTCTGGGTTCAAAAAAAAAATATATATATATATATTTTGCTCTTCCTGGCAAACTTTCTTTCCTATAAAAGGGGAAAAGGGAATCAACCACCACTTCTCAAAAAACTATTCTTTTGAGAAACCAGAGACCTGTGGTATCTGGTCTAGAGAAACTACCATGATTTTTGCCATTATGGACATGCTAAGCCTTAGGATTTAAAAACCACTGGGCTGAGCGCAGCCTGGGTAACTTAGTAACTTAGACTTTGTCTCAAAATAAAAAATAAAGGGCTAGGGATGTAGTTCAGTATGAAGGTCCTGGTTTCAATTCTTAGTACCACCAAAAGCAAATTAAAAAGCCCTGGGTTGCTTCCCATTTTGCAGTTCTGAATGATCCAAGGGCATATGGGACTGCAGGACACTAATTAACTGAAATCCCCCTGGATCAAGATGGTGGAGAGGGGCGGGGTGGCCACATGTCAGTAATTGTGCCTTACCAAGACTTACACAGAGGCTGAGGTTCTCCAGCAATAGAACAGCTTCTTTAGCATTCAGCCCTTTTTTATTTCTCCTGCTCAGAAATGGTGAAAGAACATTAAAAGAGGAATGTGAAGGAGGATGAGCAAGGAAGGGGGGAGACTTTTTTTTTTCCACAACAGATTATGCCTTCAACAACTGAATGTTGTCTGTCTTTCAGTTTAGAATAATGGAATTAGTTCAGAATTTCTTTTTTTGAGCTAAAAGAACAAGAATGTGGCAAGATCACTGAAATCTGAACTCATGGAGCCAGGCATACCTCAACCCAAAACTCACAGTGTGCCTTTTGGTATAAACGTCTCTTTAAAATTGCTTTGCTTTTGTTGGTGAGGTCAAACTAGGTGCCCTCTTTCTCACTGATGAATTACAATAAAATTTCTGGGCTGGGAATGTAGTTTTGTGATACAGTGCTTACCTAGCACGGGCAAAGCCCTGGGTTCAATCCCCAGCACCAAAATAAATAAATAAATATTTTTAAAAAACACTTTAGGGCAAGCCTTATTAAATTTTTGAACATGGGGCCAGATAATGATGATGATGATGATGATGATAATAATAATAATATAATAATAATGTCCCAATACAAACCAGAATATGTAGACCAATCTGTATAATTTTACTCTTGTATTCAGTGTCATTCTCAGAGAACCAAATCCACACTTAGTCCCTGAGTGGTCAGATCTAGAAAGGTTTTCTGCCTTTACATGGATGGCCTTTTGAATAACTGGGCAGGCAAAGCATGGTAATGTGAAACATTCATAAATCACTGCGTGCAAAACTCTTGCTGCTTTGTTTCCTCTGGTCCCAGATATCTGTCCTGGCTTTGAAAGGGAGAGGCTAGGAGCATCAGAAAAGGGAGTAACTAACGAGAAACTCTGAGTTATGAGATCTGTATTTTTATTTTTTTATTTTTTGTCTTTTTCAGACAGGGTCTTGCTATGCAGCTCAGGCTGGCCTTGAGCTCACTTTGTAGCCCAGGCTGGCCTCGAACTCGCAATGATCCTCCTGCCTCGGCCTCCTGAGTGCTGAAATTACAGGCGTGCGCCACCACGCCCAGCTGAGATCTGTACTTTTAATGACTTAGAGAAAACCCACATTTCAGGAGAATGAAAAAAAAAAAAATAGAGAAAAATAGCTCTGGCTGGGCTTCTCTAGAAGAAATGGTACAAGAGGGAACATCTACTTGAGAAACTGGCTACTTGAGCCAATGTCTAACAGAGCCCTTAGACTCTGGGTAAGAACACTTCTTACTCCTAAAATCCCTTGGGGTCCCTCCAGAGAAGCTTGAGGGCCTGGGCTGGAGTCCCAGATCAGCCCCATTCTCAGTTGAGACTGACAGAGCTCCTCTTAGAGAGTGGATCTTTGAGCCCAAGGCTTTCTCATTCTCACTCTCACCAGCCCTGGTCAAGCTGGTTCCAGCACTTCCTTTTCAGACTCAGGCAACTTCAGGAGCCTGGGTCCACAGCTGCTGATGCTTTGAGTCAGAGCAGAGCCACAACCGCAGAGCACATGAGGGAAGTGGGACCGAGACACAAACATCCTGTCCTTTCTATATCAAGTGGCTCCAGCTCAAGAACCAGTTGCTGCATTGATTATTTATGTGGGACAGAAGAGCCAAATGACACGCATACACTTGTCTTTCCAGCAGTCACGGCTAGGAAGAAAGCATTTTCTCCTGAGTCCATGGACTTAAAAGGTGTTATTCTTTGGCTTACGAAGTCGTTGGCAGGAGACACCAGGGATAATGAGGATGAGCAGGAATGTGTTTAACAGAGCCCCATGGGAGTTCCACTCAGCTGGGGAGAGTGGGTTTGCAAGTAGCTCTCTGTCTCTTCCCACAAATCAGTTTAACAGAGACGCGGCAGAATGTGGAGCAAAGCACTGGAGCTGTTGCATCCAGTCCCCACCATATTTTGGGGACTCCATATGCCTGAAAGACCAAGGGCTTCTGCCAGGTCTCACCTTGTGTACGATCGCTTCCAGCTAAAGATCTCCTCCAGACTGGGGGAGGGGGAGACCTCCCGCTTCTGCTGGGCTCCCCAGCGGCGGCGGCCCCCTAGGAATGAGGTCCGGTGCCTGCTTAGCCCTTTCATCCTCTCTTCCATTCGGAAGAACTCAGTCAAGGCTCGGAAGGACTCCAAGATGACCTCGTGGCTCCAGGCGGGCAGGGGCTCCTGGCGCAGGAAGCCACAGTGGCCTCCATGGCGACTGAGCAGCAGGAAGAAGTAGGGGTTGCTGTGGAAGAGTTCGGTAGGCAGAGTGTGGTCTGGCGGCCCACACACAGGGTCGTCGGCGCTGCAGATGCACAGCACGGGCACGGCAGCCTCGTCCACATCCCGGAGCGGGTCATTGCGATCCCAGTATGTGTCCCAGCTGATGGGGAAACTCTTGGTGTGGCAGAAGAGGGTCTCCTCAAACTCTCGCAGGGAGCGGCTCTTGAACAGCTTGTAGGTATCCACTGTGTCCTCCAGGGCTGTCGCATACCTGGCAGCAAGCAGGAGTTGAGTGGGGAAGGGAGGGGAGAGGGAAGGAAGAATCAGAAAACAAGCAATAGCAGAAGCTGCAGAGCAGTAGCCCACCGGCCAGATGCTTGTCCCCGAGGCTTTTTGGTTGTGTGGCCCTTTTTAAAACTTCCATGCCATGGCCCTTAGATTTTGCATAAAGTGTAGATCTCCAGGGAAATGAATGGGAAGATCTGGCCACAGGGGCTTGAGTTCCTTCCTGTGTCACAGTGCCCGTCAGCCCTGTCATACAGAGCATCACCTGTCCAGCCCTCAGGGGCCACATTTGATTTAGGGGCAACTTCGGATCTACAGGGACAGCTCCCCTCCCAACCTCAGCTTCTCACTCTTTCCAAGGAACTTGTTAAGAGCTGTCACCTCCTCATCCCTTCCCTGCCCTCAGACATCACTGCAGCTACCCCATTCAGTTATGTTAGTTGTTTTTCTATTTTTGTGCTCATATTGCTGTCCTGATGATGACAAAGGAGTGTGACCTGTGAACCCGATCAAGTACATCTCAGGCAGGTTTTCTTGGATGACAGTGCTGGCTGGCGAGAAAGCAATCAGGAGTGTAATTCATTTACACGAAGCATTCCCAAATAGGGCCCTGAGAACAACTGCTGCGGGGAATAAGGAGTATCTGCTATTTCCAGTTCCCTGAAGAGGACCCGGCATCCTAACAGGCCAGGATGGACAGCTCAGTCCTTTGGGTGGGTTCATCTGGCCTGCCTCAGCCAGTTGAATTTCATATATGTTGCTTGCAACTATTGAAGGACACTGCCCCAAGTTTTCAACCACAAATTCCATGGGGATGGCAGCCTCTAAAGGCGCAGTTCCTCTCCACTTCCAGCTGGTGGTCATTATGGAGAGGAAACTGTGACAATCAAGCTGGACGAGAGCACCCTGTCCCTGGACTGCACCAGCCCTCTGGGTTGCCATGGCAGTTCTTCAGGCTGCTGTTCAGCTCATAATTTGACCTTCTCAAAATAGGAGGCAAACTGGGCCAAGGAAAAAGCATTACAATTGCTGAGCACATTTACTGAGCACCTACCCACTGCCAGCCCTTCACCTCCCTTTGTCATTTAATGATCAGAAACACTTTGGGGATGTGGCTATTATTAATTCTATTTAACTGAGAAGGAAAGTAAGTCTTAAAAGGGTTAGGGGCTGGTGGCACACGCCTGTAATCCCGGCATTCAGGAGGCTGATGCAGGAGGATTGCTGTGACTCTGAGGCCAGTCTGGGCTACAAAGTGAGTTCAAGGCCAGCCTGAACTGCACAGGGAAACCCTGTGTCAGAAAGCCAAATAAAAGGGGATTAGGTAACTGCTGGAAATCCAAGGTCTGAACCCAAGCAGGTCTAAACCCATACCCCAGGTCTTCCTCCTGCCTCATCCTCTTGTCATAATACATTTGACCTTATTCCACCATCTCCAAGGGAAGGCTGGAGTGACACTCAGGACTTCTCGGTGAAAAAAGTCTCACCTGTCACCCTGGTAGTAAATTATTCTCCTTTTGGAGATTAAAATAAAAATATGTTTAAAATTTTTAAAAATTTTAAGTTAAATGCTGAGTACATATGCAGGATATTTGCCAAGTCGAAAGAATTTTTAATAAATCAAATGCTGCCCTATTTCTGATCCCTGTCACCTCCTGGCTCTGAGATTGTAAGTAAATATTCTAGACAGATAATGGGCAGCAATAGCTTCCAGGGCCCTCTTTGTTGACCTGCTGAGTTACAGACGATAAATGTCAGGTGCTACCTCTGCTGTTGCAAGGCCAGGCGCTCTGGTTGCTAGGACACCCGAGGACATGCTGGAGCCCCTGGGCGCAAGGCCCTGCTCTAGCACAGTGATGCTGGTTGAAGTCCACGAAGCCACATACGGCTTTCAAACCTCCTCTCTTGATTGTATCTAGAATATGGGGTTTGTCCAGCTTTGGAAAATGTGTGAAAACTTTGCTTAAACTGGCCCACACCTGTTTGTTTCCATAGGAGGCAGGGCTATTTTCCAGGCCAGCCTGAGCCTTCTCTGCCCATCTTGGGCTTCAATTACCCACCTGCTGAGGGCGATCTTCTGGTACAGCAGGAAGCCGCGCTCATAAAGCCAGGGCAAGCCGGCCTCAAACCACTCGCGGCAGCGCAGCACAGGCGAGATGCAGGCGGCGCCCGTCATGTAGCTGGAGGACCCGCACTCGCCCAGGTAGGACAGCAGCAGCGCGGAGCCTGAGCCCTCGCTCACGGCGAACAGCGGGGCCGCAGGGTGTCGGAAGCGAATGTACGTGACCGCCTCTTTAAGGTCCGACGGGTCCCCAAAAGGCTGCAGCCGAGGGCTGACCAGCGGGCAGCCGTGGTGGCCACGGCGGTGGAAGATGACCGGGTAGTAGCCGCGCTCCAGGGCGAGCAGGCAGAGGCCCAGGACGTTGCGAGTGAGGCGCCCCCAGGCGTTGGGGATCACCAGGAGCACCGCCGGGAGGCCCCCCGCGCTGGCGACTCGGCGACCCCGGGCGCAAGGTCCTACGACCCAGTCCAGGGCCACCAACCCATCATCTGCCAACTGCAAGTACTCCCGGGCCAGCTCAGGCCCCGGCCCGACGGGCAGGACGAAGTGGCAGAGGGTCTGCAGGTGAGGCCCCGAGAGCCAGGGGCGCGGTTCAGGCTTCAGCGCCGCCGAGCGTCGCAGTGCGCGCAGCAAGCACTGGGCCAGCGCCGACGGCTTACAGAGGAGGCTGCAACCGCCGGGCAGCGACTCATGCCCGTCGCTGAACTGATCCGCGGGGGCTCTGGCGTCCACTTCATCGTCCTGGACCAGGGTCCCGGGCTGGGTCCTCGCTCCGACCGTGTGCAGGAGTCTGGGGGCGAGCAGGAGCAGCAAGGCGAGAGCGGCCAGGAACAGCGCGAGGGCGGCACCCCACAGCGGCATGGCGCGGCCGAGAGCCCCCGGTGAGCTGCGGGCAGGCGGCGGGCTCCGG